AGGTGGACAAGCCAGGGAGAGCAAGCTGATAAGCAGCATTCTTTGGTGGTCTCTACTTCAGTTCCTGTGTTCAGTTCCTGCCCTTGCTTCCTTCTATGACGGTCTGTGGCATGGACGTATAAACCAAATAAACCCTTTACTCTCCAAGTTTGTTTGGGTCACTGTTTCACCTTAGCAACAGAAAGTAACTAGAAACCCCTCTTTGGGTCAAGAGTTTTGAGATGCTGTGTGCTCTTGGCTAAAGCCAGGCAAACTAGCAGTTTGTGGCAATTCTGACCTTTGTAGTTTTCTGCACAAGGCTGCAAGCTTCCATGCACCATTTCCCAACTCCCTCAAGTACACCTTTGCTTGATTTGAGATCTTTTTGTATTTTTTGTTCTGACTTGTGTGGGAAGAAAGATGTCTTTCTTCTTTTCTTTCCTTCTCCCCATAACCCCACCTCAGCGAAGTGAGGTGTATGTAGCCTTGGCTGACCTGGACTCACTGTGTAGACCAGGCTGACCTCAAACTCATAGATATCCTCCTGCCTCTGCCTCCCGACTGCTGGGACCACAGGTGTGCACCACCACACCTGGCTCCCATTTCTTAAGGGCACTAAATCTTGTAGGGAAGCCCCCAAGCTGAGCATAAACAGCGAATAGTTACCTGAGCTTGGGGATGCCGTTATCCATTTGCTCATTTCCCCCTTTGGGTACCAGGTATGTTGGATTCTGAGGCTCATCGTTGCTTTCTGGGATCTATGCCCATGGGCATCAGAGTGCTGAGAGCCACTTATGCTCCTCAAGTGCCCCTTTTCCTGACGATTGTGAGCAGTGGCATCTGTCTAGATGTTCTCCCACGGTGATAGAATCACTTTTATGTCAATAAAAGATGAAGATGGGGCGGGGAAAGTCTAATATAGAGACTCAGGTCAGGTGAGAGCTTCTTTTAGACTAGGTTACACCTTGGAGTTCCTCTTCTCCTGGAAAAGGCTCCAACTCTGAGACTGGCCAGCTCATGACCCATGTCACCACTAGAGGGCGCCTGGAGACTACTGTCTGCCTCAGTGGCCTGCGATGGGGAGACAGCCCAAGAATTGCCGAAGTACCCTGCAAGCTCTTAGACCTGGACAGCTGTGGTTGTAGTTGATCCAAGTGTCCTGTGTCCTTCTCTAAATGCCTTGGCATCTGCTTTGCTCTCATCAGGCTACGCCAGGCCTTTTAATTTCTTTTTTCCATTTCCAGTTTTATTTTAAAGCACATTCTCCACCGCCCCCACCCCCACCCATAGGGTTTCTCTGTGTAGCTTTGGCTGTCCTAGACTCGCTTTCTAGACCAGGCTGGCTCGAACTCAGAGATCCGACTGCTTCTGCCTCCCGAGTGCTGGGAATAAAGATGTGAGTTACCACCACCCGGCTGAAGATTTGTTTGTTTGTTTGATTTTTGTTTTTCGAGACAAGGTTTCTCGGTGTAGCCTTGGCTGACCTGGAACTCACTCTGTAGACCAGGCTGGCCCAGAACTCATACAGATCCATCTGCCTCTGGCTCTGCCTCCTGAGTGCTGGGATTAAAGGTGTGTGCCACCACTGGCTGGCTGAAAATATTTTATTTATTATTTATTTTTCACATTTATTTTTTACCTTTAAGTGTGTGTGTGTGTGTGTGTGTGTGTGTGTGTGTGTGTACCAGTGCCCATGCGTGAACACACATGGATGCATTTGTCTGTTGTCTGTGGAAACAAAAGGTGTCAGATTCCACGAAGGTGGAGTTTCATGCTGTTGTGATCCTCTTGCTGTGGATTCTGGGAACACAGCTTACGTCCTCTGCAAACTCTGTAACATGTCCTTAACTGCTGAGCCATCTCTCCAGCTCACTTTATTTTATTATTTATTTATGTTTTTTTTTTCTTTTGTTTTGCTTTGTTTTGTTTTTCAGACAAGATTTCTATGTAGTTCTGGCTGTCCCACTCTCTAATAGGCTAGGCTAGCCCCAAACTCAGAGATCCTCCTGTTTCTGCCTCTTGAGTGCTGGGATTAAAGGTGTGCACCACCATGCCTCACTATTTACTACTTATTTTGTTTGAGGCAGAGTCTCTCTAAATAGCCCTAGCTGTTCTGGAACTCACTATGTAGGCCCAGCTGGCTTTGAACTCACAAGGATCTGCCCGTCTCTGCCTGCTGAGTTTAATTTTGAGATTAAAGGCATATGCCACTATGCCCAAAATATTACTTATTTTGATACAAGGTCTCACTGTGTAACTTGAAGGTCTGGAACTCTCTACATAGACACCAGGCTGGCCTAGACTCAGAAAAATCCACCTGCCTCTGCCTCTCATGTGCTGTACCTGCTTCTCATGTATCACACCTGATATCTTATTTCTATTTCTATGTAAGTGTGTGTGTTTCCCATATATGTGTGGGTGCCCTTGGAAGCCTGAAGAAAGGATTGGATCTCCTGGTCTGAAGTGACAGATGGCTGTGAGCCGCCTGATGTGGGTGGCGGAAACCAAACTCAAGTCCTTTGCAAGAGCTCCAGGTTCTTTTAACTGCAGAGCCATCTCTCCACCTGCCTTGTTTTTCATTTTTTTTAAAGATATGATTGTTGTTGTTGGGCACTGGGAATGGAATCCAAGGCCATGCACATTCCTGCAACACCTCCTCCTCCCCACCCCGACCATTTTCAAGGATGCCCTTAAGAAGAGTTCAGAGCTTTTGCCCCACCATGCAGCCCATCTGTATTACCATTCCCTTAGCTGTTGCAAAATGCCCAACAAAAGCACTTTGAGGAAGGGTTTACTTTAGAGCACGGCCTGAGGACATAGAGTCCATTCTGGCAGGGAAGGCAGGGTGGCGGGAGCGTGAAGTGACTGGTCATCTCCCATCTATAGTCAGGAAGCAGAGAGAGTTGGGGGCTGGTCTCATTGCTCCTTTCCCACCCATTCCTATTCATTCTGGAACTCCAGCCACTCTAGCTGAAGTGTCTCAACAAGGCAAACCTTCACTGTCAACCAAGTGAGCTGCTGGCAATGTTAAGGAGCCAGCACAGAGGGCCTGGTTTTCAGTCTAACTCAGGGGATGACTGTGTCTTTTCCCCATTGGCTGGGCTCAACACCACAGTCCTTAAAGACTGGTTAGTTTTAAGAGAATTTGTACTCCTGGCAGTGGTGGCACACACCTTTAATCCCAGCGCTTGGGAGGCAGAGGCAGGAGGATCTCTGTGAGTTCGAGGCCAACCTGGTTTACAGAGTGAGCTCCAGGACAGCCAAGACTACACTGAGAAAACCTGTCTTGAAAAACAAAAACAAAAACAAAAACAAAAACAAAAACAAAAAAAAAAGAGAGAGAGAGAGAATCTGTGAAAAGAAAATGAATGGGTAAAAGATCACTTTAATCCAAGAATATAGCAATGTCTTTGTGTAAACTAAAGTTTTACCAGGTATGGGGGTAGATGAAAACATTTGCATAAAAATCTAAAAAGGTGGGGAGATAAAAAGATTTGGATTCTTTGCCACAACCATACTTTTATAGTATTTGGTAGAAGAGATTCTTATTTAATGTTTCTTACAAGCGCAGACACAGCACACTGCTTATCCACTCATCAGGAAGGCGCGGGCCACTTTCACCTTCTGACTATTATAATAACCTTGTTTTGGCCCCCTTGTCTGGGAGAGGGTAATCAGCATTTTAAAGTTCTTCCCTAGGCTGGGAGCAGGACCAACCACTCCCTCCCACTGAGACCACTGGGTCTCATTTCTGTCCCTGAGTCCAGGTTCAGGTCAACACGAAGGATTTCAAATGGAACCTGGAGGAGACAGAGGTAGAGCCCTGGGGTTGGAAAGAGATCCGCAGGAACTTCCCAAGGCTGGTCTTCCCTCTACCCATCCCTCTAGTCAGAACCAGAACCAGTCAGAACAAGCTGCTCCAAAGAAGCTCTTCTCTTTTGGGGAATTTAACAGCAACTTTAACGTGTTATTTTAATTTTATTTTAAGAGGGTCTCATGTAGCCCACAGTGGCCTTGAACTCTCTATGGAGCCAAGAATGACCTTGAACATCTGTGCATTTTCCTCTACTTCCTGCCTGCTGGGATTGCAGGCAAGACCACTGCACTCCTACTAACATTATTTTGAAGATCAAACCCAGGGCTTTATGCCTGTGTGGCAGGCACTCTATAACCTAGCCACATCCTCAGGTCTCCTGGGTTATCTCTGAGATTCTGTTTCAGTTGATCTGTGGCTTGTTCATGCAGGTCTTCCAGAGTGCCTCATTTTTTTTTCTTTTCCCTTTTTATTAAAGATTTATTTGTTTATTATGTATACAGTGTTCTGCCTGCATGTACACCTGCACTACAGAAGAGGGCACTAGATCTCATCTCAACCATGTGGTTGCTGGGAATTGAACTCGAGAACTTTGGAAGAGCAGCCAGGGCTCTTAACCCCTGAGCCATCTCTCCAGCCCAAGTACCTCATTTTTCATATAGGTGGGTCTGAGAACGTATGGTGCAGAAAGAGGTCCACTCTGCCCACGCTGCTCCTTCCAGAGCTAGCCAGTGCTCTTCCTTTTTCCCAAACCCAAGGATTGGTTTAGCACCATGCTCTCTGTAACCTCCCTTATGGGACACAGGTCCACTGGGACACAGGGGTTCTAATCCCTCGTCCCCGGAGTGCCAGCAGTAGGGTACCAGTGTTCAGTTGTTGGCTGCAGACCTCTTCCACTCCCTCTTTCAGAAAGGGACAGTTCCACTGTCCACTGAGGCCCATTGAAGATCAAGTGAGGTGAACAGCCCTACAGATCCCAGTAGACAGCGACCCCCACCCACAAGAGTCCAGGGTCCTGGGCATCTCCAAAAGGGGAAACAGAAGCGTTACCTACTTCAAGCGGGTCTTGGACCAGCTCCCGCCTCGAGCCCGCCCCGCCCCCACAAGGGCGCTGCAATTGGCGGAAAGTTCTGGGGCTCGTGGCGATTGGTCCGAGAGCGAAGCCCCCGCCCCCTAGCCGCGGAGCTCAGAAGGGGCTGAGCCGAGGGGTCGCCGGTTGTGGGGACGCGCCGGGCCGGGCGGCCGCGCCGCGGGCTGCTAGCGCTGCGGCCCCGACCCTCCCGGGGCAGCAGCCCGAGCCCCCGGCGCGTCCCCGAGCCATGCTGGTAGCCGCGCTTCTCTGCGCGCTGTGCTGCGGCCTCCTGGTTGCATCCGCTCGCGCCGGCTACTCCGAGGACCGCTGCAGCTGGAGGGGCAGGTACGGTCCCCAGGAGGGACTGCGGGAAGGGTTTCTCTTCTCTTCTTTTCATTTTTTTTTCCATCTTGGGTTGGAGGGCTCCCTTCCACTGGGAAATGAGGAAACGCAGACCTCAATGTTCTGTTCCACAGAGTGAGCGCAGGTGTTGGTGGCCGCGGGAAAGGGGGTGAGCGAGCTAGGGGAACAAGGGCCACCCACCTGAGAACCACCGTCCTCTCCCCAGCGGTTTGACCCAGGAGCCCGGCAGCGTGGGGCAGCTGACCCTGGATTGTACTGAGGGCGCTATCGAGTGGCTGTATCCAGCCGGGGCGCTGCGCCTGACCCTGGGCAGCCCCGATCCGGGCACGCGGCCCAGCATCGTCTGTCTGCGTCCAGCGCGGCCTTTCGCTGGTGCCCAGGTCTTCGCCGAACGGATGGGCGGCAACCTAGAGTTGCTACTGGCGGAGGGCCCAGACCTGGCTGGGGGCCGCTGCATGCGCTGGGGTCCCCGCGAGCGCCGAGCCCTTTTCCTGCAGGCCACACCACACCGCGACATCAGCCGCAGGGTTGCTGCCTTCCGTTTTGAGCTGCACGAGGATCAACGTGCAGAAATGTCTCCCCAGGCCCAAGGTCTTGGTGTGGATGGTGAGGGACTAGACGGGCTGGGGAGGAGGTGGGTGTCAGAAATTGGCCGTCTACCCACGCCTAATGGGAATGGGCCTTGCCACCCCCACTGTACAGAGGGTCCAACCGTACTTGACTGAGGCCACTCTGGTGCAGAACACAGTGGCTTCCAGGTCATAGGGAGGTGAGTTGGGAGTGCTCCCTCCTATCCCTCCTCCTCCTCTTAGGGAAAGAGCAAGAGGGAGCAAATGCTGGGGAAGCCAGCCTTAGGTCTCTGGTTTCTGGGGGGTTGGGGGAAGGGGTGGGCTGGGCTGGAATCAAAGCGTATGGCCAAAGCTGTCCAGGGCTCCCTGGCCTGGTGGTGACCTTCCTCCCCTCCCCCAGCCCAGCCAACAAAAGTCCAGTGTGCCTCTTAGTCTCCATGGAGACGCCTGCCCTGCCTCCCTGCAGGGCACCAGGCCCAGTGCCTGCTCTTCTGGAACTTGCAGCCTGACCCTGCAGGGAGGGGATGGCTCTCTCTGACTGTTCTGCCCTAGCTAGGGACCCCAGAACCAGAGTCTACCAGAATATCTTGCTACCCGTTCCGGGCCTGGAAGGCAGCTCTGGGAGGTCACAGAAGGTTCTCAAGTGTTGGTATGAGTTTATGAGATGGGTGTGCAGGAATGTGCACGAGGCACTGAGGTGCCCGTCAGCAGGCGTGCGCCAGCAGGGTGTCCTCGGGCTGTATGATTGCTGGGAGAAGGGTTTAATCACCAGCTCTGGTACCTTTCCCTGCTGGGAGGAGTTGTGGGCTCGCGCTGAGAGCACAGGCCTGGCTAATTACCCGCTTTGCATGGTAGGTGCCTGCAGGCCCTGCGGTGATGCTGAGCTCCTTCTGGCTGCATGTACCAGTGACTTCGGTGAGTTTTCCCGTTGTGGGGGAGCCTAGGGTCTGCCCTGGACTCCCACCTGCCCACTACTGGCCACCATGTCTCTTCATAGTGATCCATGGGACCATTCATGGCGTCACCCACGACGAGGAGCTGCAAGAATCAGTCATCACTGTGCTGGCCACCCGTGTCATCCGCCAGACACTGCCACTGTTGCAGGAAGGGAGCTCGGAGGGCCAGGGCCATGCCTCCTTTCGTACCTTGTTGCGCTGTGGTGTGCGTCCTGGCCCAGGCTCCTTCCTCTTCATGGGCTGGAGCCGATTTGGCGAAGCTTGGCTGGGCTGTGCTCCCCGCTTCCAAGAGTTCAGCCGTGTCTATACAGCTGCCCTTAGAGCCCACATCAACCCATGTGAGGTGGCACTGGACTGAGAGACCTGGGAGCAAGCCCTGGCTGGACCTTCCTCTGGAGATGGGGTGCTGGGGAGGGATGATAGGAGGGTGGGGGGGAGGGTGTGGCTCAGGTGGCATCCTGGTGCCCACAGGGAGATGATAGAATACTGAATAACCGGATCACACCGGCCGCTGTAGACATGGTCTTCTGTGGCACACTCAGCTCTGCTCCTGCCTCACTTGCTCTTCTCTCTGCTGCCCTCCTAAGCCTTCTTAGCCTGCTGACCAGTGAGCACTTGCTTCCTCTAACTCCAGAGTGCTGTTGGGGCTCAAAGCAGCAGTGCTGTAATTCTCAAGACTTGGGCTAATTTGAGGTGTTTTGTTTTGTTTTTTTTTTTTAAGGTGGCCTGGGGGGGGGGGCAAACAGACAGACACCACTTCTAGCTCTGACCGAGGTCTGTTAGGGAGGGGTGCTGTACCCTGGCAGTGTGCCATTCCCTTCCATGGTCCTTGTGAGCCATACAGTCATCCTTGGCCCGGTCCCGCCCTTGGAGAAGAATGGGCCCCTCTGTCCGGAGGCCCCTGAGACGTGCTGAGCATCCAGACATGGCAAAGCGCCTGCAGGGTGTGGGGTCTTCACTGCAGGATCCTGCTTGTTCGTTTCCGGCGGGAGAGATGCACAATGGGGTCTCTAAGGACTGTTTCCCGCCACTGGCCCCATTGTTGCCGTCCCCGCCTTCCTCCTGGGCCTCTCTATTTCGTAAAAGGCTAGTGAGACCCTGGACAGACAAAGACTTTGGCCTGAAAGCCCTTGCGTGAGGTGTGCCCTAGGTTTCTTAGGACCCAACCAAACAGATTCCTGGGAAACTGCCCCAGCTCTAGTGCTGAGTGGAGTGGGAGTGGAGTTCCAGAAATGCCTTTCTATCCTTGCCTGACCTCCCTTTAAAGCTTTTCATCCATCATCAGTCCAGTGAACTAGTCATTGAGGCTGGGAGGGGGATAAGGCAGTGCAGGGACCAGACCCATGGTTCCTTGTCCCAGACTGTGCCCATGCAGGTACCTGGTGGTGTCACACCCTGCGTAGGCCCTGGGATGGCTACTTGGGGATGTTTATAGTCAGATAACTTTAATAACTGGGGATGGACAGAGAGCAGCATGCTCCTTTAACTTAGAGTGCTTATGGAGTGGGCAGGGTGATGAAGGTAAGAGATCACTCCTGAAGAGCAGGCAGCACCATTTTCTTCCACTATCTGCCTCTGAACTGGCTCCTTGCTGTTTAACTCTCATCTCCCCAAACTCCACGGAGTGCGAAGGGTTTAAACCCTCGCCTTTCCATCTGGTGAAGCCTTCCAGGTGAAAGGCAGGCCCAAAAGTGGAAGCAGGGACAGCAGGGGGAATGGTGTGTATGAGGAGGTAGACCAAAAGCAGAGGAAACGGTCTGGGAAGTCCTGTGTGGAGACACCACCTCTAAGTAGAGAGCCCAGACAGCTGAGGAGCAGAGTGTGGGTGCCAGTGTCAGGTAAAATTGCCAGGGCTTTCTGGGTGCTCTAGGTCTCAGAACACTGCCAGGAGCAGCAGACAAGAATAGCTGTACCCAAGCAACCCTGTCTAGAATTCAGTACGTGGGAGCGTTTGGATAAAGTTCTCCTGGCGGCCAGATTCTGAGCTGGGTGGGGCAGAGCCTCTTTCTTCAGAATACACATGCTTCTGCTGCCTTGGGATACCTATCTTTCAGATTGCTTTGGAGGAAAACACTGTACCTGGGGGATAGGGTAGTGGTCTTGGGCATGCGCAATTTGGAAGTCATCACTGTCTCTGCTAGGGCTAGCAGAGGAGAATCAGGCCAGGACTGATCATGGACAAGTATATTCACAGACATTTAGTCTTTTTAAAAAAAAATAATTTATTTTAAGTTTATTTTATGTGCATCAGCGTGAAGGTGTCAGATCCCTTGGAAGTAAGCTGCCATGTGGGTGCTGGGAATTGAACCCGGGTCCATTATGGAAGATCAGACAGTGCTCTTAACCACTGAGCCATCTCTCCAGCCCCAGACATTTAGTCTTAATGTAGGTGGTCAGTGTCCAGCAGCTTGACTGTTTCCATGCAGGGCCTTACTAGGAGTCACTCAACCTTTTATTTTTGAAGGAAGGAGACCTTCCGGGCTCCGGAGCTGTCTTCCACCCCAGGCTGGGCGACCTGCCAGCACCCAGCCCCTCACATCCGGCCCCCTCCTTCCACACTCACTAGAGAGCCAACATCTGTCAGTATCTGCCCGCCCCTCTCCTTCAACCCCAGGACACTTTCTATTTCCCGCCTAATTATTGTCATGGGGGTGGGGGAGCTGGAACGAAGTCCTCTGCAGTTTGCCTCTGGGTTTTTAGTAGGCTCTCAAAAAAAAGTCTTGGTCAGCAGAATTTTCCTGAAAGTGACTCTCCCAGTATAGGCCCTACCCTGGGCTGCGGGCCAGGAGCAGTAAGGCCTCAGGGAGATCCAGAGCTGTTGAGTGGACCCAGAAGCTGGCCGCTGTAAGTCTAGCCTAGCTCCTGGATTATCCCTGATCCGAAACCATCACCCGGAACCCACAGGAGGGGCCACGCCCCGCTGGGCGGAGAAGAATGAGTGACGGACTGTCCACGCAGGCTCCTTCCACTTCCGGCGTCTGATCGCGGCCTCCCTCTAGACTTGTGCGTCGCCACTGGGGCTAGGGTCTAGGGTAGGCTCCAGGACAGAGCATAGCTCAGGTCGGCTGTAGCGGTGAGGGCAGGCGCTACCGGCCAGGAGCCTTGGGAAGTGGGATCCTGAGCTGAGTGTCTGTCAACCATGGATCACGACGACCCAGCAGAGGCGTTAACTGAGCTGCGCGAGAAGCGGGTGGGATTGCTGGAGTTACTGCAAGCGGCGGCAGGCTCCGGGCTGGCTGCCTACGCTGTGTGGGCGCTGCTTCTGCAGCCGGGCTTCCGCCGGGTGCCTCTGAGGCTGCAGGTGCGGCGCGGGGCCTTGGAAAGAGCCGGACCAATGGAGCAATTGGATCAATGGGTGGGACCTTGCTAGGCTACTGTAGGTAGTGTAAAGATGGGCGGGATCAGTTATGGTGCGGGACCTAACCTGGGAATCCGGAGAGTTGGGACCAATGTGTTGCAGAGCCTGGGCCTATCTTCATGACCAAGGCTGTATGAATGAAGCGGGAATTGTATTACTGAGGGGTTAGGGACAGGTGTATGACTGGAGAGAGGGCGGGGCCTCAGGGGCGGGGTGTGGCGGGTATCAATTTAAGGAAGGAAATATAGTAAGGCATGCACCGGCCCCCCCGCCTGGTGCTTTGGCCTGTGAGACTCTAGCCTCAGCCCACCAAATTCCTTACTCAGGTGCCCTACGTTGGCGCGAGTGTCCAGCAGGTTGAGCACGTGCTGTCGCTGTTGCGAGGCCGCCCTGGAAAAATGGTGGATCTAGGCTCTGGTGATGGCAGGATCGTAAGGCCTGTGTCTGTATATTCGTTGCCCCTCCCGTGGTGGCCCCTATCCCTGGATGTATCCAGGTCCCACACTCTTGGCTCCCATAGGTGCTGGCGGCCCACCAGTGTGGTCTCCGTCCAGCTGTGGGTTATGAGCTGAACCCGTGGCTTGTGGGACTTGCTCGGCTGCATGCCTGGAGGGCCGGTTGTTCTGGGAGTGTCTGCTACCATCGAAAAGATCTTTGGAAGGTACCCTACCAAACTTCATTTATTTTCTGTCTATTTTTGGGGGGGGAGATGGGGGCTTGAAGTCTGTAGTCAAGGCTTATCTCAAACTCACCATGTAACCTAGGATTACAGGTGTGCACCGTAAGACCTAGTTTATGCATAACTGGAGACCAAACCACGGGATTTCTGCATGCTAGGCAAGCACTCTACCGACTGAGTGACTCCTCCAGTCCTGATACCTTTATCTTCCAAGTTTTATGCTCTGAGTGACTACCATCCTGATACCTGGGTGGGCTGGAGGCCAGAACTCAGTGACCATGCCCTCCAGCTTATATCCTTGTTTCCCACAGGTGAGCCTCAGGGACTGTCACAATGTGTCTGTGTTCCTGGCCCCCAGTGTGGTAGGTCATGGGCCTGCAGTTCTGCTGGGAGGTCAGGGCCACAGTTTTGAAGCTTGGCTGTTCTCAGGCCTGGAATAGGTTCTTGGCCCAGCTGGGATGGGGCAGCTTTTTCTTACCTTCCCCTGTGGCCTCCCTCTTCCTGTTCTTTCCTACAGCTCCCTCTGCTGGAGGACAAGCTGCAAGTAGAGCTACCCGAAGGGGCCCGTGTGGTATCTGGACGATTCCCCCTTCCCACCTGGCAACCTGTAGCTGTGGTGGGCGAGGGCATGGACAGAGTCTGGGCCTATGATGTCCATGGTACTAGGCCAGCTGTGTCTTCTTGCGGGGTGCCCGTCAAGGCCATCCCAGAGTCTAGTTCTACCTCCATCTCTAAGGCCCCTGTTTGACAGGCTGGCTGACTGGATACAATAAAGACTCCATGGGTTCAATCCTGACTCTTTGTTCCAGGAATCACTTCATGGGATGGGGTGGGCAGCGGGTTCCATGCTGACTGTGAAGAGGTTTGATTTGTGCTCTGTGGGAGACTAGCTAGTGACTCCTGGTCCTTGGGCGCCGGGGCCTAGTGGAAGGCATTGCTTCTCCTTGGGGATCTCCTGGATTCACCAGCTTCCTCAGTCTCAGGATTTCCTGTTTGTACCTAATCATCGGGGTGATAAAACAAATCACTTATCTGACCATGGGTTCTTTCCCTTCCACCTAGATTAGGGCCCTGGGGTCACACCCAGCCTACCTGCCCAAGTGCTGGTCCACGTACTCCTGTAGCTCAGAAAGCTGCTGCTCTGCCATGGTGGCCCGGACCATCAGCTGTGCCCGTTCCCGTTCTAGCTTTGCCTGGTGGAGGCAGGACCCATGAGCCAGGGCAGGGTGTAGGGAGGAGGTCCCTGCTACTCCTTGGCCACTACCTGAGTGTCCTGGGAGAAGTCTTGCAGCTTCTGCTGGATTTGGGCCCAAGATGCAGTGTCCAGGCCCCTGTGAGGGGAAGGCAGGAGGGGCAGTCTCCAGGGCAGGCATAATACCTGATGTGTGGTTTTAGGACAGCATAGCGCTGCCTGGGGCCCTGGACCATCTGTACACAGAATTCTCTGACAAACTCAGTGACCTCTCGTCTACTAGGAGTCTACAAGAAGTTGCCCAATCCCTGGGAGGTATTGCCTCAAGAACCTGCCTGTTATATACAGAGGTCCAAAGCTACGGCTGGCCAGGCCACCAGGCTGTCAGCTTCCACCAAATCCAAGCTTCACCTACCAGATGAAAGCAGCCATCCATTTTTCTGTGGTTACCAGCGTCCCCCATACAAACCAAGATAGCCCAGAACAGGGATAAGAGAACCCTATGTGGCAGCCAGGGTTGCCAGAATGAACGAAGGCTGTGAAGCGTCTGGTTGCTTCTGCCTGACTCCTAGACCTCCCCTACACCGACAGGAGGGCACTCACAGTGACTGTGACCCGCCCTCCTTGGACGCGTCACCACATCCCTTCTCTGGGTACAGTAGCAGTGTCCTGTGTCGGCCATACTGTAAAAGGACAAGGCGGGTTTCCCTTGACTGAGGCCAGGGCGAGTCCTGGGGCTCTGGGCTTCAAGGCAGTTTTGGGCAGCAGGGAGGGGCCGCCTGGGCCCCAGTATTACCTCATCTTCCATTGGCTGGCTGACTTCAGTGGCCCAGTGCATGGGTAATGGCTCCAGGTTGATGGCGGATGCAAAAGTAGCCCTGAAAGTACCATGTGCCCTGTCGGGGGCTGTTTGTGCCAGGTGCTGCTCCTGCAGCACACTGACCCGCACAGCAGGTCACGTGGGGCCAGCCCAGCCCAGGAGCCGGGGTAGGAGTGGAGCCCACCTGCAGGTAGCTAGCAGCAACTCCTGCCTCCGGCTCACATCTGCCAGGCGTTTGCGGTAGGCCCGGGCGGCTTGCGCCAGTTGCTGCTCTCGGCTTCGGTGTGCAGCCCGAATGTCCTGCAGAGTGGCCTCCAGGAAAGTCCGAAGGGCCGCCTGACCTGGGCCATCAGCAGTATCCTGAGGGAGGTTAGGTGGGACAGAGTGAGGGTTAGAGCTGGTTTGGGACCAGGTTAGGAGCCGAGCTGGACAGAGTTGGTACATGGTCAGGCCCAACATTACCTCTGGTCCCTTACCTCCTCTCCCAGGGACATGGGACCTCCAAGTTTCTTTGTATCTGTCTGCCCAGCACCCCCAGACTTTCATCTTCAAGATGCAGAGGCTACTTCTGACCACTACAGACATAACTAAGTGCTCACCACTCTCTCTGTGGCATAGCGCTGCAGCTTGACAGCATACTCCTCATTCAGCTTCTTCAGCTGCAGCTGCAGCTGAGCATTTTCAGCTTCAGCCTGCCGGAGCTGACCCTGACAGGTGGACAGCACCTGGGAGTGCATAAGGGGCTCTTGCTCTGTTTGTAGAACTCCCACCTACCAGATCTTGAGGCTCACAGTGTGGGTAAACACTCACCATGGCTTGGGCAGATAGTTGCCGGCCAGCTGCCCTGGCTTCCTCTTGGGCTCCCTGCAACTGCCGGGCTAAGGCTGCCCTGTGGACATAGTACAGGCTCAGCGAGGCCACAGTGAGGTACTCCATCCCCTAAAGAAGGGTATCTCTCTGTCCACTGGGCTCTGCTATGTCCAGGTGAGGTGAAACTCACTCTCGTGCATCCAGTGCCTGCTGCCTGACTCTGTGATGCTCCAGTGCCCATTTCAATTCTTCCGGAAGCTTTTGCTGGCCTCCTGATGGCTGTAGGGTGAAGAAGACAGACGCTACGCTGGAATCCTCACCCCAGGCGGGCAGATCCCTGTGTGGGTGGCTGTGTACTCACGTTGCTTGTGCTGCCCAGACTCAGAAAGCCTGCCTTGCTGGGGCTGCACCTTCATGGGCAGAAGGGAAGAGGGGAGGGGAGGGGGCGGCAGAGACCTGTTTCATTGTCTCTGTGCGGGCGCCCGGCCTGGCTCTCTAAAGTGTTCATGGTAACCTGGAGTCTGTGGTAAGTGACAGTCAGGTCTGGGCTTCTCCACTGACCTCTTGTGGTGGCACCTGCTGGTGCCCTAGATTGGCCACTGTTTGTACCCTGTGTCCCTGGTAGGTACCATTTCCATGCAACTCTAGCTCTCGCACCCGACTTTCCAGTCGAAGAACCTGTGGACATCAAGGGTGAACAGGCACCACCTGGAGAAAGTTGCTATCCACGTGGGTACATGCAGGAGCACATACACAGGGGCCAGGCGGAGGCCCACAGACACAAAGGCTATGTTCACCCCCAGGCCCTTGAACCCCTCGATGGTGCTTATCCTGGTGTACAGTCTGTTCCAGAATGCACCTGGGCTGACACACAGAGCTTGCTCGGCTACTCACTTCCTTCTTCAGCTCAAAGACTTCAGCCTCATGCTGCTCGCGCAGGCGATGGGTTGCAAGCTGGAGATCGATGAGTTCCTTAGAAATCTGTGGGTAACCCGGGTGAGAGATGCTGCCAGTGGCCTTATGGGGTCTCTGCTCCTACCAGAACCCCACAGCCCCACAGCCACCTGCAACCGCTGGTCCTCACTCAGCTCCGGAGCTGCCTGATGCTCTGTCTCCAGGCTGGCGACCCAGGCTGGGTGCCCGGACACTCTAGGCAGGCAGTCCTCTGCTCCTGGAACAACCTGGTAAGGCACCACCACCCCACACCTAGGTGGGTCTCAGGCCTAGGTTGTGGAGCCCAGTCTTTTGGAGGCATTTCAGCACCAACCAGGTCAGCCCTGGCTGACACAGACACAGGATCCAGGGACTTCGTCCCTCCTGGTCTATGAAGGAAAGGAAGCCCCCCCCCCCCCGCCCCCGCCACATCAGTGTCTTGGGAGGACTCACATTCTCTGCAACTCGAAATGGGGCCGCTGGCCTGGGGCCTGGGGCTGCCACATACTCCATAGAAGAGAGGAATTCTGGCCCCTGATCTGTCTGATGGTGGCCTGCTTCCTGGCTGTCGTTGTGAGTGTTGCTGGTGTTGCCAAGGCCTCTGTTGATCTTAGAGATTGCCTATCTTGCCTACAAGGAAGGGCAAGGCGGTTCAGCGGTTAGGAAGAGTGGGACCCACAAACGAGATCCATTCTTTCCGGAGCCTCATGTCACCTGGGACATGCAGACAGGCACTCTGTAACAGGCCAGCTGGATCCAGGAGGGCATAACAACGCCACACCTGTGGCTGCAGTTGCGGCCAAGGTTGTCTTTATGTGGGATGCCCTCCCCTCCTGTAGGGATTTGCAACTATTTCCAGTGGTTCGTAATTAGGCCACCCATCTATCCACTAAGGGGGTCGTGCGGCCCAAGCTGAAAATCACAGCGTTAAACTCTTGCATTTCTTCCTGTATCAGCTGAACTCACACCAGCAGGTGAACAAGCTGGACACACCCCACCTCCTTCTGTGGGGAGAGGTGGGCATAATCAGAGGCAGTGGACCTTAGGACCTAGCTCAGCCTGGGCACCAAAAAGGCAAACTTGAGGAGGTGCCCTTGCCTGAGGCTGAGTTGGAGCTTGCGCACTGCGCCACACTGTGCCCAACCACTGTGTGCGCGCGCGCACGCGCGCTCTCTCCTTCCTTTCTGCGCATGCGCGATTTCTGCCATCGTCCATCAGTTCTCTGTACATGGGGGAGTTGGGGTGTCGCGTGGACAGCGGCTATGCTCTCTTCGGGACGCTAGACTGGCTGCGCATGTGCGAGTGAGGGCAACAGCAGGGAACGAGGTGGACCCAAGTCTGGGGTACCACTGCAGCTGAGAGAGGCGAGGCCTGCTGAGAAAGGCGGGGCCTACCGGGACCAGGGGCGGAGCTAGAAGGAGACCGCAATGCTGTGTGGCTTTTGGGGGCGGGGAAGGTGAAGCTCGGACAAGGGGCGGGGTTTGAGGTGGGTAGGGCCGCCAGCCCCAGAGTTTTGGAGCTTGGAACTGAAGTGGGTCCTCTGGGAAGCTCCTGGACAGCGGAGCAACCCTTCGTTTGTGCCCCCAGTGTGCGTGTGTGGCTGACCCATCTCGCGCAGCTCAGGAGAAGGGGTTCACTAAGTTGGGGTGCCTCTTTTGGGGAAAGGGAGGATTGGTTGAGGTCTGCGACCATGAAGGTCAAAGTCATCCCGGTACTTGAAGACAACTACATGTATCTGATCATCGAGGAGCAAACGCGGGAAGCCGTGGCTGTGGACGTGGCTGTGTCCAAGAGGGTGAGGGCCTACCAAACATGCCATCAAGGGACTCCCGGAGCAGACCTGACCCCCTAATTTTTTTTAAGTCATTTGATGTATTTATCTTTGGGCTCCCTTGAAGTTATGGTTACTTTTGGTGTTCGTGGTGCCCCAGTAATTGTAATTGTTTGCCCGATGTCCCCCCTAACCCTTGCTGCCCTGGGTACTGGGCCCGCCTGTGGAGCTGAGCACCTGAATCTAGTGACCCAGTATGGGATGAGCGGCTCACCTGAGCGTCTGTGGCACTAACTCCATCCTTTCCAGTTGCTGGAGATTGCAAACCGTGAGCGGGTGTCTCTGACCACGGTACTGACCACCCATCATCACTGGTAAGAGGGTGTGTGCTGAGGCCTAAAGCAGACTCCTCCGCCGGCACCTTGACTTGACCAGGCTCCCGCACTTCCACAGGGACCACACACGTGGAAATGCGGAGCTGGCACACCTGCAGCCAGGACTGGCGATCATGGGAGCAGATGAGCGCATTAGTGCTCTAACCCGCAGGCTGGAGCACGGGGAGGAGCTTCGGGTGAGCATGCACCCGGAAGGGGCGGGGAGGGTCCTGGTCTAGGCCTGCCCACTGGTCCTCACAGGTCCAATGCCTCACCGTCGCAGTTTGGGGCCATCCACGTGCGATGCCTCTTGACGCCTGGCCACACCTCTGGCCACATGAGCTACTTCCTGTGGGAGGATGAATGCCCGGACCCACCAGCCCTCTTCTCTGGTACCTTGCAGCCTGGACTCAGCCACCTACCCAATTCCACTGTGCCCTCCCTTCCCCTTTCTGACCCTCTTTCCTCCCTAGGGGATGCTCTGTCAGTGGCAGGCTGTGGCTGGCACCTGGAGGACACTGCCCAGCAGATGTACCAGAGCTTGGCTAACACCCTGGGTACCCTTCCACCCCAGACGGTGAGAGAGCCTTGGCCTTCTGTGGGGTCCGCATACTTGGTACTGCACTGCCTCCTGGTATAACCTGTGCTTTCGTACCTGTCCTGCTTTGGTAAAGGTGGTGTGTACTGGATGGGTTGTTGCTAGGGTAAGGGTATGTACGCCCGCCACTCCCTTGGCCCGGGGCAACCTGTGTTCACTGAGCTCCCTCCCTCTTCTTGCAGAAAGTGTTCTGTGGTCATGAGCATACCCTGAGCAATCTTGAATTTGCACAGAAAGTGGAGCCCTGCAACAACCACGTACAAGCTAAGCTATCCTGGGCCCAGGTGCATCCATTTCCGGCTCTATAAAGGGGCAGGGGCAGGGGCAGTCTTCCTGAAGGTGGGGGGAGGGTCTCCAGCTGGCTGGGCCTAGGTTTGGCCCTGCTGCAGATCTTCTGTCAGGCGCTTTAACCTCCCTGTGTGATCAGGGGCCTGCTCTTTGCAGAAGCGGGATGATGAGGATGTACCTACTGTGCCTTCGACGCTGGGTGAGGAGCTCTTGTACAACCCTTTCCTTAGGGTGACGTAAGTATGGCTGTGTCCTGGGCCTTCCTGTGGTGGGGCCTGAGCCATACCAGTGGGTAGGGCAACCTCAAGGGGCCATGTACACCGCCAGCTGGAGTCTCCCCATGGAGCAGTCTCTGGACTAGCATGACATCCTTGGAGCCTCTTTGGCAGTCATTTAGGTAGTTAGGAGGATGTCTAGGGACTATTTATTGAGCTGAATATCCCTGGCACCAGGGAAGGGCATTTGTTAAGGGCCCTCCTTCCATCCACTGCCCTGCTGGGCCCCACCCCCTTGGGCAGCTGGCCAGCCCCACAATTCCCCAGCATACTTTTCCCTGCAGAGAGGATCCAGTTCGTGAGTTCACAGGCCAGGTGGACCCTGCCCAGGTCCTGGAGGTGCTCTGCAGGGAGCGAGCACGCTTCCAGCTTGATCTGGAGCCACCACAGCCCCAGGCCCGGGCTCTCCTGGCCTTGCAATGGGGGCTTCTGAGTACACCACAGGAAAAGTGAACTGTGTGGGGAGCCTGCCTGTACCCATTCTCCTGACCTCAGGCTGGGCTCCAGAAACACCTTCTGAGGCCCTGTCACCCCGCTTTGAAGAACCAGCAAGTGGTGCCTTGCTTGTCTCTACTGTTCATGGGGCCATATAGGCAGGATCTCTGATGGGCCTTAAGACATACATGTTCTGGGAACTGAGAATGGCAAATAAAACTTTGAAAGGCCCAGTGTAGTGCCACAGACACAGCAGATGCTTCCGGAAGAGCAGACCTGTTTTATTAGTGGTGAGACCCAGCTATGGAGTTCTCACAGCCATATAGGCTTAGTGCTGACAAACCGCCCAGACACTAAGACCCTAGCAAAGACCAGGATCAGTTACCCCACTATGTTCAGGCTTGATACCTGCCCTATACACTGTAGCTTCAGGGCTTAGCCACATTCATGACACCCCTCATACTCAGGCTACTACAGCCGGAGGGTAGGGCAGGGAAGATGCCCGTGGCTTCAGGCCAGTGGAGGAGATTCTGGAACCTCCTTGACTCTCCTTGGCTACTTCTGATCCCGCCTGCACTCCCACCCTGCAGATCTCACTGTGGAATCTGGAGGTATACAGGCTGCGGTCAACATTACCAACCAGACACACAGAGGCCAAGGACCCACGTGCATCTGGTGCTCCACTCTAGCACAGAAAGCAACACATCCTTGCAGCTCTCCTTGAATTATGAGGGTCTCTGTGTGTTTTCTGTGAGTGCTTTGTCACAGACACCTCCCACACAGTCTTCCTGGGAGTCCTGGTGCTGCCCCGGGGCTCTCACAGACTCTCAGGCCTCCTACCACCTGATGGTGAGGCCTGAGTTGGTCTTCTCCACGGCATGGTATTGTGTGTGCAGCAGGCGGCTGGCCCGCTCCGAGTCCTCACCGTGCAGCCAATGCTGGTACAGCTCCTGGACCCCAGGCACATCTTCGGGTGCCTCAGGCCTCACCATGCTATACAATCTTTCCACTTGCTGGAGGAGCTCCCTGTCTTCCATATCTGGAGCCTTGAGCTGGCCTCCGCCATTCAAGCAGCCTGTGGCAGAACATGGGGCATGGGTGTGGTGGCAGGGAGTCAGGGTTAGCCCTCTGACCCCCTGGGTGTGGAGAGGGGGACTGTCCCACTCCTGTCCAACCCCTTCCACCGTCCATTGGTGGCAGGCTGCCGGACTGTCCCAGCAAGCAGAGCCTGCTGTGCTATGTTAGGAGGAACTACCTGAAGGGCAGGCCATGACTTCCACATAATGGTAGGGACAGCGGCCTCGCTTCAGTTTCTGCACGAGGTTCTGGATGTTGCGGAAGCCATAAGCCACAGCAAATCGCAACAGCACCTGGCCTTCCCTCTCCAATGTCACTTCCTGGAAGTCCTTGTTCCTGGAGGTGTAGGAGTGGGCTTTTGAAAAGGCATACTGCTACAAAAGCCTGTCCCTGCCCAAGTGCAGAAGCCCTCCGGGGTGCAGGGCACTGCCAGCTGGCTCTGTCCGTTCCTGCTAGCAGGCAAGGGAGGAGTGATGGAGGGGGGGGGGTGCAGCTCGCATCCATGGGCCCACAGGTAAACTCATCCCAACCTTGACTTCCTAAACATAGGATTATTTTTCCCAAGGGCAACCACGAAGCATAGGAAGGTGTGAAACCCCAGGCCCAGGCACTGTACCCATGCTGGGCACCTGCTCGTCCTGCTTAGCACCCTGGCTCAGAGGCTCTGATGAGACTGAGGCAAATGCTCTGGCCTGTTCACACTTCATGGTCTTAAGGGGAGACCCAGTTGTGCCAAGGGCTCCAGGGATCTCCCCCCCCATTCACTTCAGTGCCTGCCCTGCTGACCTCATGGGTTGGTAGGTGACTTCAGCCACATGGATTCCAAAGAGCTCTTGGGCCGCGTGCCGGAACACATGCTCCAGGTAGCCTCCTGAGCCTCCGCCCCGATGGCTGGTGGGCTCCTCAGCAGACACACTACTGGTTCTGGGAGAGAGGTGGGTCAGTGCAGGAGGCTGGGGCTCAATAGCTAAGGTGGCTTGTAGACATTAAGGACTGGTCTTATGGTGGCCCTGGGAAGTTCAGATGCCTTCTAGAGTAGGCTCTGCTTTGACACTGTAAACTCAGCCACTCTTGAGCCCCAGCCAGGCTGCGGGGATGTCTGGAGTTGGCCAGAAGGCAGCCTGGGTAGAAAGGAGGGGACAGGACACTGCCCCACCCCACAGGCAGCATCTGATCCCAAATAAAGGTCCTCAGTCCCCACCACCAACTCACAGGCCATCCAGGGGCACAGGCTCCAGCTCTGAGAGCGAAACGCCTTCCTCCTCCAGCAGCCGCAAGACTTCTCCTGCAGGCGGACCACAGCACAAGTTCTAGTTGGCCTTAGAGTGCTGAGCTGTCTGTGTTCCCAGAGGGCCACTTACTGCAGCTTGAGGTGGGATGGTGAGTCCAGCCAGCCCCTGCAGACCCACGGGAAGGCATTCCTAGCTGGGGCATTTTAAGAGGGGCCAGGGCCACTCTGCCAGTTCAGGGGCAGGCTGTTTAGCCTCCTAGTTTATTTTCCCACCTCTTAAATGGGAGACAGGCTACTCCACTTAAAAGTGGGGTGACGATATGAGCCATGGGGACTAGACTTGACAGCCTGCCTGCCCTCAAGACTCATTTTTGGCCTAGCAAGGATACAATACTGGGGCTCCGTTGGCCACAGGACCCTGCAAGGCACTGACGGAAGCCTCTGCTGTCTCCCAGGCTCCAGTACTTGGCTCCAAGGGGGTAGAGTTAGGTGTGGCAGCTGCACCTGTTGTAAGGACACAGTCCACGTCACGGGTCTGGTACTCCTGGTTGAAGAAGTCAGGTCTGGATGCTTCTAGTTTTTTGTCATAGCAGGGCATCACCGTTACATGGTAGATCTTGTCAGGAGACAGAAGCTACAGAGAGAGTGTGGAAAGCTCAGAACTGGCCTCACTGTGAATGAGTCAGAGGTGACTTGAAGATAGGCATGACTTGAGCAGTTACTCATGCCCACTGGCCATCAAATGTGCAGGGCCACATATCTCCTCTCCCACAGGCAGCTGCAGCAGAGGAGAGAGGTTCTCACAGTCTTTGAAGGAGAGGACAGGTCACAGTGGACCACACAGACTAGAGGGAAGTGTGGCTGTGCACAGCAGAAGGAATGCACAGGGTTGATGCCAGCGTCCATGGTTTTTGTACTAGGGAGCCAGCTCCCTCATCCTGTCAGTGGGGTGACTTCAGGCTGAGGCCAGTAGATCACTGGAAGTGACCTAAAGTGCAATCTGATTTGTTCACCCAGCAGCCTGTGAGGTGTGCTTTTAACCCTTGGTCTCCTGCTCTTTAAACATGGAGTCTAGCCACCTCTAGGTGTGAGAAGTGCCTTTCTGTCAGACCTGGACCCCCTGGTGCTTGTCAAAAGACAGCCCAGGTAGTAACAGGCTAGCTGGGAAAGACTGATAAGAGGCAAGCTTATTCCACCAGCAGCTACCATTGGGTTTCGGTCACCCTGATACCCCAGAAGAAGGTACCAGTCACAGGCAAAGGGTGAGTGGCCGGCCAGTGTCACAGCTGTGTCACACTGTCTCACTCCTGTGTCACAGCTGACCACTCATTAGGTTGCCTGGGGATGCCCAGTCCCATTACCTGTTGCTGGGCAAAGAAGTCCTTGACCAGGGAGCCCATAACCTGCTGTGGGGACCGGGCTGTGCTGATGTAGGGGAGGATGAAGTTGCCATGCGTCTTCTCAGCATAGCAGATCCAGCCTGAGCCAAAAGGAACAAATAGGTTTGGGGTATGCCTAGGGCAGGCCTGGGGGTGGTTCACAAACAGCTTTTCTCTTCTTGGCAGTGACATGACATTCTGGGGGTGGACTGTTTCATGTAAAAAAAAAAAAAATTACTGTGGCATTAAAACATTCACCCTGTCATCCCTGACTGTCACAAGGAAGGCTGGTATCCAGGTGATCACCAATGAGAACTGGTGACTACAGGTGAGGTCTTTAGCTGTAGGCACCTCGTACGTAGGTACTGACATTTCTACCTGTCTCCAAAGATAACTCCTCCCCGTCATTCCCATTTCCATGTCAAGCTGTCAGTATATCATGAAGTCCTAACTTCAGTTAAACAGCCATGCAGCCAAGGACACACCTGGGCAGGCAGATGCCAGCATGGGCAAGGCCTCTCTGGAGTTGGTTTGCCCTCGGAATCGCCGCACAAACTCTTTCTGGCTCTCCAAAAGGCTGAAGTTCCTTGCGAAGACAGTGTCGAAGACAAAGTGTACCCCTGGAAGGCGATGGAAGGTGAGCACGTGTCTTTGCCCTAACCATGGCGGAAACTGGCATCTGAACACCTCTTAGTGGGGCAGCAGGGCTCTTCCCCAGTGGCACCATGTTCTATGGGGTCTCTAGGAAGCCCTGTTTTACTACATATAGCACCTGCTGTGCAGAGGACTCAAGAGCTAGCTGCCCAGTGGCTCCACCATTACCCTCGGAGCAAATTCCTAAAGCTGTACTTTCCTTGGCACCATTCTGAATGTGTTTAAGCCTTTTCTATCAGCAGCGCTTGGCCCTGATGCTTTGGCCTCCTCCAGTCTAACCTGTGCTGCCTCACCCAATTGCCTCCTGCTGTGTAAAATGATGGTGTGTAAAATGGCTCTATCCTTGAGGGCTAGGGCCACCTGTATGGCCCCGCTGCTACACCCATGCACGGACTGGGTAGACATGTCTGTGGGCCTTTCAGCCAGTGAGATGTCTGCCTGGCACAGGCCATAAGCTAAGGCTCCTGCGGATCCCAGCGGAAGACTGTGCTCCTGGCTCTTCAGTTCTCCCTAGGACTAGAAACTGCCCTGGGGTGATGCCAGATTGAGTGCTCCTCTCTTCCCAGAAGCACCACCCCCAGGCTGGTTCTTCTTGGGACTCTGCGCACTGATGATGGCACCTAGTACCACAGCGAGGGTCAGGCCTCATACATGTGTCACAGAGGAGGATCGGGTGCCTGCCTGCAAGACTCCTAGTTGTGGTGGACAAGGTGCCAGATCATCTAGCAGGCAGGAGGAGCATTCCATGGAGGTGGCACCATGAATGCCCATGCCCAGTCCCTCCACTTCCCCAGAATGGGCTGCTGGTCACTCTGGTACTGAGACCCCAATTTAGCAGGGGGTTTTCAAAACACCCATATCTTCCTCCACCCCAACTCCTGGCACAGAGGTCAGCCAAAGCTTACCCAAGCCAGAACCCAACAGATGTGACAATATGCCTGAAAACCAGTACTTGCATCCAGTAAGATGGTTCAGCAGGGAAAGGTCCTTGCTGTCAAAGCTGGTGACCCGAGTTGGATGCCTGAAACCCACATGGTGGAAGGAGAGAACTAAATCCTGAAAATGGTCCTGTTATCTACACACACGCAAGCACCCAAAATAAATACAATGTAAAAAAAAAACAAAAACAGTAACCTATGCTGGGTGCAGTAGCACATATCTGCAATCCAAGAACTAGGGAGGCTGAAGCAGGAGGATCATATGCTTGAGGCTAGCCCAGACTACATAGCGAAGTCAAGGCAAGCCAGGGCCACAAAGTGAGACCCTGTCTCAAAAAAACAAAACAAAAACAAACAAACAAACAAACAAACAAACAAACAAACCCAAAGGTGGCGTGTGCTTGCAATTCCAGCATTTGCTAGGCGAAGGCAGGAGCATCAGTTTAAGACCAATCCAATCTACCTGACACCTAGTTTCAGAAAACCGAAACACTAATAACAACTCCCAAGAGAATCTAGGAACTGTGAGGTACTGAGGGGACCAGTCAACTACAGTACAAAGTCAGAGCTCAGGTGGCTTCTCTCCTAAGGTGCTGATCTCAACCATCGCAGTGAAACAAGTTCAAGTCACAGTAGGGAGAGTGTCCCTGCTGCTCAGCTCAGGGTGAGTGACGTGTGCTTTGGGGGCAGGAGGAGTCCCGATAGCAGCCACCCTCGTTCACCCAGGGTTCTGCACCTACCTATTTTTTTGAAGAATGAAGTTAATTTCTTGGCAGTGTCTGAGGGATCCAGCCGAAACCTGGCAGCCAGCGACGCTCTGGACTGTGGTGAGATGGAAACGACCACCAGCCGCTGCTGACTAGGCACCGCCACCTGTAGAGCAAGGGAGAAAAGTCCCTGGCTCTGTGGCCTTTGTACAGATTCCCAGAGGCCATCGGCTCCACCATGGTCTTCCCAAAGCGTCGGGCCTAACACTTAGTGTCAGAGGACACTGACATGAGAGCAGCGAAACCAAAAGATGCAGGAACCACCAAAGCCCAGACGGGTGGACCAGCTGCCTGTCCCCTGATGGAATACGCTGTGGGCTGCTGGGGCTGAGCCCTTATTAGCTGATACCTTATTGGCATCTAGAACCTTCTGCAGCTCCTCGTGACTCTGCTGGGTGATGAGCACTGTCTCTGCTGAAGTGACGCAGCCACTGCATGCCAGGCAGTCATTCAGGGAGACCTTGGCCTTCTCCAGCTTCTGGGTTCTGCCATCCTGCAGGTGAGCAAAATCTGGGCAGGGCATTCATTTTGGGTAGCCTTTGACTTCCACTCATACCAACGACCAGCCTGAGATCCGGCTGCGGGTTTGTATGCCACCACACTCATTTTTATTTACTTTTCTTTTCTCATGACAGTAGATTGAATTCAGGGCCTTGCAAATGCCAAGCAAACACTCTACCGCTGAGCTCTACCCAGTTTTTAAAAATTAAACATGTGTCACACAAACACACAAATGCTTTAGATACCCCAGATGTTCATACTGACATCAAGTTCTGACTTTTGGCACAAGCTCTACTGGAGCACCAGGACCCCACGAGCAAGGCTGGCTTTCCTTAAGTCAGTGCAGAAGCAACAGACCTGCTTGGAGTAGCAGCTGGTCTCTGGCCTGTGGGACAGGCTGGGAATGAAAGAGGGAAAACCAAGAATGGATGAAGGAAGGGAGGACAGGTGGGTGGGAGAGAAGGCTGTTTAGGTAATAACAACTATCAGATTAAAGAATGGACCTCGGACCCCAGTGTTCAAATCAGGGCCTCCAGGACGGACACCCCCAGTGGTTCTTGCCATACAAACACGACACCAGCCTGAGACCTTCAATCTTGCTACAGAGGCAGGAATGGTCTGAGCCAGGGCCAGGTGAGCTTCGGGGGTCCATACTGACCAGAGGAATAAGGCTAGAGGGTTTGAAGTCCCTTCTCTGAGCCTGTGCTTTACACCAAAGCCCCAACCTGAGGTTAATCCACACCGAGAGACCAAAGGGCCACAGCAGCAGCATGCAGACAAGGCCACTTGTCCTAAAAGCCCAGTGGTGACAAGCACCTTCCTGTGTCCCTCTATCCATGGGACCCCTTGTTGAGAACCAGGGCCTCCAGGTACACTGGCACCTAGCTGGAGCCATGGAGTGTCACGAGGACACTATGGACAAACAGCTGGCCTTCACCATCGCAGCTTGATCCTGCTCTCCATCGCTCACAGTGATTTGCACACTCATTGCCTGAACCTACCCGAGGGCCCTCGCCTACTCAGTGTTCCGTGGCTGGGCATCACTGCTCAGTGGAGTGGCATATGGGACTCCTTTTGAAGGGACTCCTTAAGAGTGCAAAGGGCAGCCAGTCAGGGTTAATTTTAACAGACACCAGATCTAATCTTCAGGATTAGAAAAAGGAGGAGTTTGGGGGGCCAAACCCTGGAAATCTTCCGCCACTAGAAGTAGCCAGAAGGGGAGGTGGGAAGGACCCACCTTTTCCCCAGGCATAACAGGGCAGGTTTGCTGTTCATATGCCTCCCTATTCTCCCTCCTCCCAGCTCCCCATGGTCAGCAGATGTGACCAATGAGAGAGAACAGGTGATATGCAGGAAGCTTCAGGGTGGCCACGCCTGTGCCTGGATGAGGCAGAAGCGGTGGGTTTCAGATCTGTACCCCAGCCCCCCTCCTCCTGCCACCACCAGCCCCCAGCAGGGAAGTGCTGGAAACCTCTGGTTCCTTACTGGGTTCACTTGGAAGTAACTCCCATCATCTTCAATGTGGATCTTGGCTATGCCACTTCCTGGCTTCTTATCCACCTTCACAGGCTTGATGCAATTCTATAGTAGGAAGAGAGCCCAAACCAGGCTCTATTAGGAGAAGGCATCTCTAGAGCACCCTGGGCCTCAGGCATGGCCGGCTACTGGCCACAGAGTGAATCTCACCACTGAGGCCAGCCCCATCACCTTCTTACCCCTGAAGCCATGTTGAGCTCTGGCTGCCCACCCTCTCTGTACAAGGTGAGGATATCGCCAAGGTCACTCACTCTCTAGGTCCAGATCGGCATGGAGACTGGTGCTAACTCTATAGGCAAGCAAATGTCTGCAGAAACCCTGACCAGCCCATCCTCCCAACGTGCAGACAGCAGCACGCTGCCAGAGGCCAGTGTGTCAAAAGGCCAAGGCAGAAACGGTTACTTTGGGAACTTCTGGAGGTCACCTCCAACCCACTATACAGACGAAACTTCCTGTCTCTCCCCTTCTTGATATCTCCTCTTATTACTTCCAGAACCTTGATGGCCTTCCAGGAGATGACCTTCCACAATACTGCCAGTCCCAGGCAAGATACCCCAGTTCACTCTGCCTGTGTGGCAGCTCTCTTCTATGGGGTCTTGGGACTTGGCTACCAGAATGATAGCTCTGGGAACATAGGAATACCCAGACAAGAGCACCAGTTCCTGTTTTTAGGTGTGGCTGTCTGGGGTCCCTTGTATGTTCCTCAAAGCAAGGTCAAGAACGTTAGCTATGGTTGTGGCCCAAGGAGACTTCCCACCTGTGCCTTCAGCATGGTCCCTGTCCATTGAGATGAGCAAACTGGCTCTGAGAGAGGGGTGGGATGTCCCACAGGTGTGTGGAGGCTGACTAGCCCCAATCATGTCTTTGCATCACCAGTTGGGTGACACTACTAGGAACAGTAGCTGAAGACCACATAACAACTGCCTGTCACCCCTAAACATTCCCACGGCTCCCGGATATCACTCCTGAACATCCTGGGGGCCAGTATCCGGTTGCCCAGCCCTCCCTGGGCTCAGCTGTCTGTGTTAAGCAAGTAGGGAACCAGACAGAGGCCCTGGGCCCTTGAACGGGTAACGGGTCTCTTTCTCAGAAAAAGACACAGGTAGGAGCGGTTTCCCGCTGCCGCACGGCCAGGCCCGGACCCTCCTCCTGCGCGACTTGCCCTTGGCCGGCCCACCTGAGACGGCCCGATGAAGTCATCCAGGTCGGTCAGCTGTAGTGCCCCACTGAAGGGCGACGCCATGACAGCCCCACAGGCACTGAGCGTCGCACGGGGGTGTCGCAAAATGATAACGCTCTTCCGCCACTCTGCCGGAAAACGCAAATTCCAGCGCATGCTCATTTCTTCCCATGGGCAAGCTTTGAAAAGAGTGCGCGCCCTCTGCTGGCGGCCTTGAGAGCTCAGCCCAGCACACTCAGAGGACCAAGTTCTAGAGCCTTCAGTTTTCTGTGCCTGCCAGAGGTTGCTGTGTACAGGGGTGGACAAAAGAACAGAAAGAATGAAACTGCAGTCTCTCCCGCTTCATGTCGGGGTGGGAATCCGGCTTTCACTCATCATCTTGACCTGACAGTACCCTACCAAGGTCCCAGATAAAGTGCCCGGTCCAGGATTTTGTGTTCTGCTTATTGGCAGCAGCAGAACACAAAATGAACTTGATTCACTGGCGTGCCTTGGAATGAACTTAGCAAAAATGAGATCGACAAGTGCTGTTGAGATGCTAATACAGGAGTGTAGGAGAACATTTATAGAGGCAGGTTCTTGGGCTGGACCAGGGCCAAAGGGCAGTTTCTGTTTGCAAGGAGTTTTCTAATGTAGAAAGAGAGCGATGCATAGATCCTGGGTCATTCAACCCCTCCCCTGCCACCAAGCCTGTAAGAACAAACACAGTGGAGAGCTGACAAAATGTGAGGATTATTCAAGGCCCACCAGCAGATACACAGTGGAACAGCCTGGGACAGTAGGAAGAGCAGAATCCTGGCATTCATCTTCACTTTGGTGACCCTGGAAGACATTATAGTTAGTGGATAAGGATGAAGCCAGTCATAAAAGACGACGAGATGTCCAGCACAGGCAAACCCATAAATAGAAAGCTGACCTCAGGTGTGGGGGAGAAGGTTTCTAACCAGGTTGGGGAAAAGTCTTTAGAAATCGATGTTGGACATTGTGATGCCATTTTTAAAAAAATAAACAGAATAGGGTTTCTCTCTGTAGCCCTGGCTGTCCTGAAACTTGCTTTGTAGACCAGGTTGGCCTCAACCTCACAGAGATCCATCTGCCTCTGCCTCTGGAGCGCTGGGATTAAAGATGTGTGCCACCATGCCTGGCCTTGTGATGTGATTAATGTCACCAAAATGTCTGCTAGAAATGGTTACAAGCAAGCTGAGGAGATGACAGATGACAAAGTGCTTGCTGTGCAAACAAGAGGAACTGAGTTTGACCTCAGAACTAATGTGCCTGTAATCCCAGCCCTGAGTAAGCAGAGACAGAGAGATTCCTGGGGCCTACTGGCCTGCCAGTAGGTAAAGGCACTTGTTACCAAGCCTGCCGATCCAAGTTCAATCCCTAGGACCCAAATGGTGCAAATAGAGAATCACGACTTGCAAATTACTCTCTGACCTCCACAGGTACAACATAGCGTGAACACACCTACACATGTATGTACATACACAGATAAATGCAATTTTACAAAAGAAAAAGACCCCAAGGTACTAAAACCCATTAAATCCTACACTTTTTTGTTTTCTTCCCCTAAACCGAGATGGTCACTGAGTAACCCAGCCTGGCTTCAAATTCTTAATCCTCCTACTTAGCTTTCTGTATACTGGGATTACAGGGAATGCCCCCACACATTGTGAATTGTCACTTTAAATGGGACATGTGACTTTGTTTGTTTATTTGGTTGTTGTTTTTTAGTTTTTCAAGGCCGGCTTTCTCTGTATAATAGCCCTAGCTGTCCTGGACTCGACTTGTAGACCAGGCTGGCCTTGAACGCATGAAGATCCGCCTGCCTCTACCTCCTGAGTGTTTGGATTAAAGACGTGTGCCACCACGCCTGGCAATGAGTTTGCATTTTGATAAAGCTCTTAAAGCTAAAAACAGAGTGGAGCCATAGCCAGGTATAGTGACATATGCCTATAACCCTGCCACTCGGGAGACTGAGACAGGAGGATTGCTTCAACTTTTTAAAAAATGGTTTATGGGGCAGGAGAGATGGCTTGGCTGTTAGAAGTGTGCGCTGTTCTTGCAGAGGACCCTAGTTGGGTTCCCATCCCCCACCTGGCAGCTCACAACTGTCTGTAACTTTAGTTGTTGGGGAGCCTGATGATCTCTCTTGACCTCTGTGGACACTAGGTATGCACAACTGTACATAAAGGCAAAATGCTCATATACGTAAAAGAAAAAGAAATCATTCTTAGGAAATGTACTATTGCTGTGTGCTTGCAAACATGTATGTGTGTCCGGGCAGGAGTGGCATGGTGAGGATTTCAGCATGTGGAGGTCAGAGAGCAACCTCCATGAAGTGGGAAGAGAGAAAAACACTACAAACATGTGTTAGTGTTCTTTCTCTCTTCCCACTTCATGGAGGTTTCAGGAGCTGAATGCTGGGAATCAGGCTGGCAATCTGTGGAGCCACTTTGCCAGCCCAGTTGCTTCAAGTTTGAGGCTAGCTTGTGTCCTGTAGTAAACACAGGGTAGCTAGGACTACACTGTAAGACTCTTAAACAAACACACACAACAAAAAGGATGGAGATTGGAGGCTCAGCTTCTGGAGTGGCCCTGAATCCAGGACATTCAGTCCCACAAGAGACCAACAGAGTAAGTTGAGGACTTTTGTTTTATTTCAATCTCTAAAGCGGAACTCAGCTTCCCGAGTGCTAGGCAAGTGATCTCACCGGCTTTAGGGCTCGTTTCTGGTTCATAAAATAGGACCTCGGTTTCTGATTCTCTGTTTCTCTGTTTCTCTCTCATTCTCTCTCTCTCTCTCTCTCACACACACACACACACGTTATCTGCTGGGGGTGCACCACCTCCTCAGACATCTTTCATTAACTCATTTCCCTGTGGGCTCTGGCTCCATGCAGATGTCAGGCCTCTGGGTCCCCAAGCTCCTATTTTGCGAATTGTTTCATCATCATCATTAGTTAGTATTTACCATGTGCTTCCCCTGTGTATGTCCCCAAGCTAGATTCTGAGAACTGGAGGGTTTACAGACGTCAGGGAGGGGAAAGGAGGACACAGAGGCCAGCCAGGGACACTGGGAGAAATCGGCTGGGCCTCAGCTGCTGTGACACTGTGCCCTGGTGTGGTGTTCCATTCCCTGAACTTTCCTGGCTGTCTTGGGTACTCATAGACCTCTTTTGCCCACAGGTACCATTTTGCCACTTAGTTGGGGGGAAGCAGCCATTTTTTTTTCTACTGCCCATGTGGCGCTCATGGAGGCTTGCCCGTAGTCCTGTCTTCTCTCTTGACTATGCCAGTTCCACCATCTGTAAGGATGTGCTGTGTGCTGCTGTGACAGATGGCCACAACTGGGTGCTTAGAACAATGAAAACTTATTTTCACGGCTCTGGAGACCAAAAGTCTGGCATCCATGTCTGTGTGGTGCGTCTCACCCTCCTCAGAATGCAGGGAAAATTTTTTCCTGTCTCTTCTTGTAGGTGTTGCCAGGCCTGTGCGCACATGCTTCTAGTCTTTGTTTTTCACGTGACCCTCTTACCTCTGTATCTCTGAACCTCTTTTGCTGAAGTCTTGTCACTACACACCTCAAGACCTTTGATGGCCTCATCCATTGTGGGAACAGATGTTGGGGCTGGATAGCTTCCCTCAACTTGGCATTAGCCAGAGTCACCTTGGAAAGTGAGATCCTCAGTTGAAGAATTGCCTCCATCAGAGTGGCCTGTGGGCATATCTGTGGAAGTATATTATTATTGTTATGATGATGATGATGATGATGATGATGATGATGTTTTTTGAGACAGGATTTCTCTTTGTAACAGAGCCCCAGCAGTCCTGGAACTCGCTCTGTAGACCAGGCTAGCCTCAAACTCACAGAGATCTACCTGCCTGGGCTTCCCGAGGGCTAGGACTAAAGGTGTGCGCCACCACAGCCTGGAGGTATTTCTTTATTAATGACTGATGTAGAAGGGCCCAGCCCATTGAGGACGGTTCTACACTCCCTCGACCCTGGGCATGTGGTCCTGGGTTATATAAGGAAGCCGGCTGAGCAAGCCTTGGAAAAAGCCAGCAAGCAGCGTTCTTCCATGACCCCTGCTTCAGGTTCTGCTTCCACACTCTGCCTGGAGCTCTTGCTCTGGCTCCCTAGGTGATGGACTCTAACATGTACAATACAATAAACTCTTTGCTTCTGTCACGGTGTTTCATCACAGCTACAGAAAAGCAAGCTAGAACCAATGGGAAACTGGTGGGAACCTCTGAGGTCCAGGAGCGGCCAGAGTCAGTGTGATCAGGTGTGACATGACCCTGGTGTGGGGGCAGGTGATATACCCACAGGTAATCTCAGATGGCTGAGAAAGGATGGCTGTGAGGTCACGTTGAACTACATAGGAGACTTGGTCTCGTATATGTATATACATATATGTATACGTATATATATATTTTTTGGTTGGATATTAGCTCAGTTGATAGTGTTTGCCTCACCAGGCACAAAACCTGGGGTTCAATGCCTGGTACTGCATAAGTCAGACACTTGGAAGGGGGAGGCTGGAAGATCAGAATTTCAAAGTCACTATCAGCTGCATAGCAAGATTGAGGCCAGACCGGGCATAATGAGTGAGACCCTGCCCCAAAATAGATGATAGGATAGGTAGGTAGATAAATACATAGGTAGATGGATGGATGGATGGATGATATAGAATTATTGTGGGTAGAGTGTTGCCCGGAGGGAGAAACAATGTGTGGAGGAAAGTGCGCCTGTTTCAAGCCTGTGTTCCTCAACGCTCCCTCCCATGCTGTGTTGGACGACACTGTGCTACAAAATTCAGAAAGAAAAAAGTGGAGTTCGCCCCTTCAGGCTGCAGTTGTCTGTGTTTTCCAGCTCCCAAAAGATACACAGGTGTACGTTGCCACCCTGAGGGCTTGCACAGGGGCGGGAGGGAGGCTGTGCCCATGGAGGGTCCTCAATCACAGTCTCACTCCCACCAGTTAGGAGCATCATCCAGTTTGGCGCCCAAGAGCTGTCAGGCAAATTGCTGGGCGGGGTGGAGGACAGCACATTCCACCTGTGTCAAAGGCTGGACAGGGTCAGGCCAGACCAAGTTCAGGACAGGTGGTGTGGTCGGTCAGCCTCGTGCCCTACATAAAGTGAAGCTCCTCTCACCTGATCGCCCTCCATAGTCTTTGTGAGCTGGCGCTATTTTGGTTTATTTGTGGTGTGTGTGTGTGTTTGTGTGTGTGTGGCTGATGTGATTGGGGTCTTGAATGTTCTTTCAGAGTCCACATGCTAAAGATTTGGCTCCAGGGAGCTTTCAGAGGCGCCTTCAGGGACTGTTGTCCAGTCAGCACTGATAGGGTATATGGGGGTGTTGGTTGCTGGGCAAGCTCTAGAGTAGGATCTGCCCCCCCTTTTTTTTCTGCTTCCCAGATGCCTGAAGGTGACAGGGCCAAGCAAAACCGCCAACACTCCCAACACCTCTCTCTCTCCTTCTCCTCTTTCTCTCTTCCTCCTTCCCTCCCTCCATTTCTCCTTCTTTCTCTTTGAGACAAGGTTTTGTATAGCTGACACTAGCCTCAAACTCACTGTAGCCGAGGCTAGCTTTGAACTTGTGATACTTTCTGCCTTTACCTCCTGAATGCTGAGATTACAGACAGGCACCATCACCCAGTTACACAGTCTTAGGGACTGAAGGCAGGGTTCCATGCGTCTAACCACTGAGCCCCAGCCCCAGCCTTTTTCTCTACCTCTTAAGTGTGTGTGTGTGTGTGTGTGTGTGTGTGTGTGTGTGTGTGTGTCCTTGGCGGCCAGAAGATGGATTCAGATCCTTGGAGCTGGAGTACAGGAAGTTGTGAGCAGAACTCTGGTCCCCTGAGAGAGCAGCATACTCCTTTAACCACTGAGCCATCCCTCCAGTCCCCTTTTTTCCTTCCTTCCTTCCTTCCTTCCTTCCTTCCTTCCTTCCTTCCTTCCTTTCCTTTTCTTTTTTTGTGATTACCTCATGATTTTGTGATTTTGTTACAGCGATAAAGCTGATTGTTACAGTGGTCAACAGAGGTCTCTCCAGCACTCAGTCAGTTGGGGATGAATCAGCCTTAGGCCCCCGATGGTTATGAAGTCACGAATCTTGTCTGAGTGGATATGAGGCCAAGGTGTTTCTTCCTACCCCTTCCTTATAACTTGAAGTGTAGGTACTTCCCCATGGGAAGGTCCCACTGGGGTGCTGGGCTCCTTATGAAAGCTGGGTCCCAAGTTGGAAAGATGGCTCAGAGGTTAAGAGCACTGGCTGTTCTTCCTGAGGACCCAGGTTCAATTCCAGCACCCACATGGCAGCTTACAACTGTCTATAACTCCAGCTCCAGGGTATCCGACACCCTTGAATAGACATACATGCGGTTGAAATACCAATGAACATACAATGTTAATAAATAAGTTTTTCTTTTAATGGGCTGGTGAGATGGCTCAACAGTTAAGAACACTGCCTGCTCTTCCCGAAGTCCTGAGTTCAATTACCAGAAACCACATGGTGGCTCACAACCACCTAGAAACCGATCTGATGCCCTCTTCTGGCATGTTGGTGTACATGCAGACAGAGCACTCCTACAATAAAAAGGAAAATACTTAAATAAATTTTTAAAAAGTGGGAAGAAAGAAAGAAAGACAGACATGCAGGCCCCCCACCACAAGGGTGTAGTATATTGTGGGCTTGGGTGGCATGTCTAACAAGATAGAGATAAAGCAGCATTTTGTAGCAAGATTTTTGCAGTGGTGCTGGTGACATTGACCCCCATTGCCTGGGATCCTTTTGCTGAAGCCCTGTCTACCCCATCCACGCCCCGTGTCAAGCAAGTTTCGGTGATGGAGGCTGAACGGAGGAGTTTGATTTGTTGGAAGCAGCGACTGCTGGGCATCATTAGTGGCATAATCAACACACGGCTCTGTGCTTGTGGGGCCGCTACATCTTGTCAACAGGTGGGATCCCAGCAACGGCCCCTCAGGAGCCCGCACGCGCTGCAATTAGAGGCTAATGAGAGGCCTGAGTGGCTGCTCAGGCAGAGAGGTACTGTCACTGTGATTTCTGTGCCCTGGCCTCAAGCCTCCCGCCAGCTGGGGTGTCTGCTTAGGTGACTAGGGCCAGCGTGTTATTCGTGCTCAAGGCTCCTCTGTTGTTCTTATTTTTACATTTATTTATGCCTATTTAAAAATGTATGTTTATTTGTTTGTTTTTGTTTGTTTTTCAAGATTGCCCCAACTTAACATTATGAGACAAAGAACCTCCAAAGATGCAGCTGAGCTTTTGTGTTGGCAATCTACTCCTGGCTTGGAGCCTGCCCTTAAGGTGGTTTGTTTCCCTGTGAGACTCCTTGGAGAAAAGCCATTTTTTATTTTCAAGGGGCTGTCAGTTGGAGATAGCTTCTGGAGTAGGGGTGGGGACGTACGACCACTTCTTTCAGCTCTCTTACCGCATCTACTGCAGGCCTGTAAGGCCCCTGTGCATGCTGCCACCGTCTCTGAGAGTTCGGATTATTCAATTTTTAAAATTACTTAGATTCATCAGGGCACGGTGGCACATGCCTGTAATCCCAGCACTCGGGGAGGCAGGGGCAGGTGGATCTCTGTGAGTTCGAGGTCAGTCTGGTCTGCA